AAAAAAACACAAATTCTTACCTGATTAAAAAACGTAGATCATTATCACGTGTTTAAACCAAGTTTTATCCCCTAATTATATCTTTTATACTTAACTTCCCATTTACTAACTTTTTATTTTATTTTTATATGTAGACTGCTTTTAACTTGGTTTTTGTTAAACATTATTATAAAAGTGTCATTTTTTTGTGAATTTTCTTGTAAAAAAATATTTGTAAAATTTTTTTGCGAATTTATTTGTGAAAAATAATTTACAGATATTTTTTTACAAATTCTGCTACAATTTTAATAATTCCATAAATTTTTTTCCATGGTAAAAATTTGCAGAAAATATTGTAAGAATTTTATTTTGTAATGCATATTTTCTTGCAAAAATAAATTTGTAAGTAATGTTTACTAAATGGTAGAAAAATTTTGCAGGTAACTTTTCCTGCAAATTTTAATCTGCAGGAAAAATAAAAAAAAAATATTTAAATTTATAAGTTTAATATTTTAAAAAAACTTCAAGTCCCACATCGATTGAAAATAAAACAATTAAAGAGTATATAAATTAGGGTAACACTTATCTTACAAGTTGATTTGTATGGTTGAGTGTTAGACTTATAATCTACAATTTTAGAATTTAAAAGATTATGTATCACATGTTGGAGGCATGGAAACAAATGTTTCGGATGAATTCATTGTGAGCATTTGAAAGTTGAAGAATTATTGATAGAATTTATAGTAATTTCTTTAATTTTTTCGTAAAAAATATTTCTGTAGAATTTCTTGCAAAAAAATTTGCAGGAAACTTTCCTGCAAATTTTTTTCGCAAGAAAATTTCCTGCGAATTTAAAAATTCGCAAAAATATATTATCCACAAAGGTATTACATAAAATTTCGTAGAAAAATTTGTAGGAACAACATTTCCTGCGAAAATTCACAGGAAAAATTACATGTAATAAGAGAAATTCTAGTAGTGAAGTGACATTTTGTTTATAAAATTTAAAATTAAATTTGATAAAACCAACACTTTCTTTGATTTTTTTTAGTAACCAAATTAGAACCAATTAAAAATACTTTAAAATTAATTATTTTTTTTCTTAATACATGTATTTTGTACCAAAAAAATAATTAATTAGTAATTTAGAGTCCAAGTTTTAGATATACAATTATGTTAAATGTTTAGAATGAGTATTTTGTCACTTATAATAGTCTAATAGTCCTACTTAACTCAAATAAAATTGTTTCTAATAAAAAATATTTGTGATTTATAAAAAAAATTATTTTCCTTAAAAATACCTTAATTATAAAAAAAATTTGTTGAATAATTAGACTTTTAAGTTTAACTTTGTCTTAAATAGAAAGAATATTGAAAACCTTAATTTTGTCATTTCAAATTCTTTTATCTTATTCAAAAATTACTTAATGAATAATTATTCATTTAAAACATATTTTTTTCCATTAATGCAGTGCATGCGTGATTTTGGTTTTACTAATTTTCGATAAATTTAATATTATTAACTAAATTATTATTTTTAAGTTTTGAAACATAAGGTCAATCTAATTCTCCTTAAGTTGATTCTGATTTGTATTAAAATAATATTTAATTAACAAAAATCATGTCTTATAAAGACAAAATAATTTTTAGTTATTAGTTTTAAGATATTATGTAAATTAAAATACTTTTAATCATTATAAATTAGTTAATCGAGTTGCAAGATGTAAAAAAAAAAACCAAGAGGAGTATATTTTATACTTAAAAGAAAAAAAAAACCTACTTAGTGTTATCTATTAGTTTACATGGGATTAAAAATTCAATATTTAGCACTCAACCTTGTAGTTGTAGTGTAGTGTTATATCCAATCATAGATTTTGCCATTTGGTACCCAATAATAGATAACTAAACTCCACCCATAATTTATTTGTCAATCGGGTTAACCCATCAAATGTGAACCAAATCGGAATTATATATATTTTATAAAATAATAATTAAAAATTTATTGTATAAATATCAACAACAATTTATTCTAAATGTTCTATTAAAAGAAGTTACGAGCTTTTTCTTTATAAAAGGAGAATGCAAATTTTGATAGGAAAATATTAAAAAAAATTTGAAAAGAAAAAAATAAAAATAAAAACAAATTCTTTTAGACAAAATCAAAAACTTTTGGAAGGAGTAATGAAAAAAATACATAAAACTAAATTATAGTGAAAAAAATGAAAAAATAAAATAAAAATTATTTACTTTTTGTGATAACATTTAAATTTGGATATTTCTCGATAAGTTCCCGTATAACCTAAGTAATAAGCTATATTAAATAACTTATAAAATATGCTTAAAACATGCTATGAATTACTCATAAGATATTTTATAAATTTGTCAAACACTCTCATAAATACTTTTAGAATAAGATAAATACAAATAATCTATTCATAAGCTCTTTTAAACAACACTTTAATAAAAAAACTTGTTGACTTATTTAAAATTAATTTTATTGATTTATTTAATATTATTAATGTAAAATAAACTTTTAAATAGAATAATAAGTTAGATATATAAAAAATCTATAATAGATAATAAATCAAAAATAAACTTTAATTTTATAAACCAGAATCTGACTTATATATTTAAAACCTGGTCTGACTTAGTTTATTGTCATTTTTTTAAATCATGATATTAGTATAAAGTAATTATTGAAAATCACAAATACACACACGATATATATTCTCTCTTCAAACATAATTTATTTCATGTCCAAGACTAAAATTCAAATCTTAAACAACTTAATTAAAAAATACAAGGTGTTATCTAACTAAAAAAACACAACTCATTTCCACTTGTTTGAACCAAGTTTTATCCCCTAATTATGTTTTATACTTAACTTCCTATTTATACCTAACATCCTAGCTATATATTCACAAAGTACCATTCATTTAAATATTTATATATGCAACCGTTAGTATTGAAGTTATGATTATGGACCACTTCTAACTTTTAATTATTTTTTATTATTTTATTTTATTTATATGCAGACCACTTTTAACTTGGTTTTTGTTAAGTGACATTTTGTTTATAAAATTTAAAATTAAATTTGATAAAACCAACAATTTCTTTTTTTTAGTAACCAAATTAGAACCAATTTAAAATACTTTAAAATTAATTATTTTTTTTCTCAATACATGTATTTTGTACCAAAAAAATCTTTAATTATTAATTTAGAGTCCAATTTTTAGATATAAAATTATATTAAATACTTATAATGAATATTTTGTCATCGATAATAGTCTAATAGTCCTACTTTTAACTCAAATAAAATTGTTTCTAATAAAAGATATTTGTGGCTTGTAAAAAAATTTATTTTCCTTAAAAATACCTTAAGTATACGTTTTTTTTTTGTTGAATAATTAGACTTTTGAGTCTAACTTTGTCTTAAATAGAAAGAATATTGAAAACTTTAATTTTGTCATTTCAAATTCTTTACTAATAAAAGTCAATACAATAAATATATTGAATGGTAAGATATAAAAGAATTAACTATTTGTAAATAAATAAAAAAAGATATTTTTTCAATACTTATTTTTGTTTTTCATTTTGATCCTATTTATTTGTTACAACTTTCTAAAATCACTTTCTTCTACACCATTATTTTATTTATTTTGTTATGAAATTAATCATAAGTAATTGTTCATTTTTTTTAATTTTATTCTAAAAAATTACTTAATGAATAATTGTTCATTTAAAACATATTTTTTTCCCATTAATTCAGTGCATGTGTGATTTTTGTTTTACTAGTTTACCATAAATTTAATACTAATAACTAAATTATTATTTTTAAGTTTTGGGACATGAAGTCGATTCAATTCCCCTAAAATTGATTCTGATTTATATTAAAATAATATTTAATTAATAAAAATCATGTCCTATAAATATAGAATAACTTTTAGTTATCAATTTTAAGATATTATCTAGATTATGTTTATAGAAAAGAAAATACTTTTAATCTTTATAAATTAGTTAATCGAGTTGCAAGATGTAAAAAGAGCCAAAAGAGTATATTTTATACTTAAAAAAAATTAAAAGAAACTACTAAGTGTTATCAATTAGTTTACATGAGATTAAAAATTCAATATTTAGCACTCAACCTTGTAGTTGTAGTGTAGTGTTATATCCAGTGTTTAAAAAATCGGACCGAACCGGCCGGTCGGACTGGTTGGATCAGGAACCGGTGGTCCAGCCAGTCCGAACCTTAAGTTGAATCGGTTATGCAGTCGACCCGTTTCAAACCGGATTGAACCGGTCAATTTTCCGGTTCAACCGGTGAACCGGTGGGTCAAACCGGTTCAACCACTTTTTTTTTATTTTTTTTATTTTTTTTATTTTTTAAGGGACCATAAACCACAAAAATAATAATGAAAATTGAATCTTTTAATAGAAGAACAAAGATTCTTATTAAATATAACAATAACTACTTGTTCTAATGTATTTGTTTATATAATATACAACTTAAATAACTTTTATAGTATATTATTAATTTTATATTATATATTTAATAATATAATATATATGTAAATATTACATATATTATTTTGTGATATCAATTGCAAGCATATTATATATGTACATATTATTTATATTTTTAATTTGTATTAATATACAGTTTAATATGTAATTTTTTATATATTTTTTACAAAATAAAAATAAAAATAATTTTAAATAAGATAGAAAAATTGAAATTTAAAATAAGATATAAATTTATTAAAATTTATAAGTATAAAATATATTTAATATGAATATTTTTTTAATAAAAATAAATAAAAACCGAGTCATGCGGTTCAACTAGTGACCCACCAGTTCAATCTTTGACCCCACTGACCCAGTATCTTAACCGGTTCGATGACCGGTCCGGTTTTTAAAACTATGGTTATATCCAATCATAGATTTTGCCATTTTGGTACCCAATGGATAACTAAACTCCACCCATAATTTATTTTTCAGTCGGGTTGACCCATCAAATGTGAACCGACCCGATGAAACATGGGTTTAGGGTTTAAGCAAAAAGCAAAGACGCTTCCTTCTTTTTTTCTGATCCCAGTAATCAGAGCCGTTACTGACAAAAAAGAAAATCCTAAAACCTTTGCATACCTTAATAAATCCCAACACCTCTGCAACTGTTCTCTTTCACTCTCACGCACTATTTTTTTTTTTTTTTGTCTTAATTGAAAAATGGATAAGAACATTTTTTCAGACTTGGATAGTTTTCCCGAAGAAGATAAGCAAAGAATGTCCACCATGGTAGACCAGCTCCAATTCCGAGACAGGTATCTTCACAATTATTTTATTTATTTATTTATTTATTTTTATTCTTTTGAAATTCTCTGTTTTTTTAGTTGTATTGAGATGTTCATATGTATGTTGGAACTCTCTTAGTTAAATGGATGAATGCTAGATGATTGGGATCTGATTACACAGACAAACCCACATGTATGTATGATGCATGTATTATTTAGCTGTGTAGGTTGATTTGTGTGCTTGACATGAATCGCATTTTGCTTGTTAGAGGAAATTATCGAGGGAATGTTTGGATAAATTTCTCAGACAACACTTTCATGAGAGAAAAAATAGAAAGGAAATGAGTTTTTTCATCGGCTGAAAATATTTTGAGAAGCTAATATGAGTATAAATTAACTTATGGATAAGTTAATTTTAGCTTATGAAAAAACTTATTTTATTTTTGGTTTTTTTCTATTTTTTTTCTTCTTAGAAGTGTTTTTTGGAAAAAAATTATCCAAACAGACCCTGAATCTGGGTTCATGTTGGATGCTGCTGATTAAAACGTGTTGATACTGGGTGGCAACTAAATGATGGTTTGTATTTTCATTTTGATGGGTTTTCAACTTTTTATGATTGTTTAATGAGAGAAGAGTGATGCTTAGATCATGTAAAAACATAATACATATATCTAAGGAGGAGGAAATATGTAATTTCTAAACTATGATGTGCGTTGTGTTTCTAGTGTGTGTGGCATTGTATTCTTAACCTATGCCTAGTGGATCTATCGATTCTATTCTCTATTGAATTTCTTAATTGATACTATGTAGTTTTGGGAAAAGTGAATCTAGTAATAACTTGTAACTTTGATTAGCAGCACGGATGTTTTCTGTTGCAGTAACTTCTGATACAAATTTGGCCTTAACATATTAAATGATTATTTTGGTTGGACACCGGATTGGACTGGATACGTGAGAACTGCAATGTGTATTTACGTAATACATTAACACTTGTGTAATTCTAGAGCTTTACCTAATCTTTACATATATTAAAACAGTGCACTTATTTGTCAGTCTAGAGTTAGAAGTTGCAAAGATGTGACTCTAGAAGTTTTATTCAGCCTTGTAGCTTAAGGTGGATTTTGTTGATTTATTCTCTGCTCCAACAAAATTGCAGTCTAAGGATGTATAATTCATTAGTGGAGAGATGTTTCAAGGAGTGTGTCAATTCATTCTATCGGAAATCCCTGACCAAGCAAGAGGAAACTTGTGTTCTCAGATGTGCTCAAAAATTCTTGAGGCTTTCAATGCAAGTTGGTTTGAGATTTTCAGATCTCAACCAAGGAGCCTCTACGACAGATAAAGGTGTTTATGAATAGCCTCTTGACGATAGATTTTGTATCACCTATAAATCATTTTTACTATATTGATGTCCTATTTTATTGTTATTAACCAGGAATGTTTATTACCTGTCATTGTGAAATTCCTTGGATAGAATAAAAGGAAATGGAATTGTTTATGGCTTTGACATCTTGTTAGATGCAGTGTACCCAATTCATTTTACATTTTTAGTTAAATATGAGCTTTTCAGGATATTTGAAGAACTTATCCATTGTCTTTTCCTATGGTTTTTACGTAAATTATACACTGTCAAGTTATTTCTTAGAGGGTCATTTCTCTCTTCCACTGGCTTTTTGTTAAGGATTGTTCAAATAGCAGATTCAAAGAGAAATGTGGCATGGAACCAAACAAGTTCACGCACTATTGCTTCTCTTAATTCTAAATGCTGTTCAAGTGCATGAACCTTTTTTATCCCGTAAATAGTTTTGATTTGTTTTAGTATTATTCTCTGTTTAGCATTTTGTATATTAGTTTTGCATTCATGTGTTAAGAGGGAGAAGGATGAACTCTGCTGTTATGTTAAGGTATTGATTGGCCCTTGAGTTTTCTTTTTAAGAACTTTGTAATTCTAACATTGGAGCAACAACTTTAAATTACTAAATTTCTTGTTTTCTTTTCCTTCCTCTATGTACCTCATTGCAGGAACAAAAAGCTAACTTGAGGGATTACAGGAAGTAATTAATTGAGCTAATTCTCAGCAGATAGCTGTTACTGTGAATTGCTAATTTCCAATGACTAATACATAGTGAATTTGAGCATATACTAATTTGGGCGTATACTATGAATGAAAAGAAACTGCAAAGTTAGTGGTTAAAATTAATATATTACATTTGTGGAATCTAATAATTAATGGTACTAGAAAATGAATGGAAGTCTTCAAATCTATAATGATCATTTTTGTGATTGCATTACATATGTTAGATGAGATTAGTGTTCTCTTGTAGTAAGCAACTAATGCTTATTTTTCTAGTTAATGCATAATTTTGATATCTTGATGACTATGGATTTGTTTAGATAAATTTATTTGGAGACACTTTTTTATAAGTTAAAATTAATTTATACACAAGTTAATTGGTAAATTTTTAGAGAAACTATATAAGAAAACTTTTACAAAATGTAAGCTAATTTCGAATTATGGAAAAAAAAATTCAACTGTTTTTCTCCTTAAAAGTGCTTTCAGAGAGATTTATCATAAAGTCCAATCCAATATTAAATTGCTACATGGTAATGTTTGGAAATGATGTAATACTGAGACATATGAGATACTTAACATATAGCTACTACTTGAAACTTGAAAGATGAATGGCCCTGCTGAGCAATTGGTTGAGTGGACTATGTGTTTTTCCCAATTTTCTTTATTTTTTTATTTATGAAATTATCATGTTTCAATTGGCTACGGGAACAAATATCTATGAGTAACGTATTATTATTATTTGAATAAATAATCTAATAAATTTTTATTTAGTTGAATAAAATATTACTTTAGTTAATTTTGATGCTTGATTTTTGTTTTAAATAATTATAGTTGAATGAATAATTTGATAAAGAATAAACGAGGTGAAAATATAGCACAAATTAAAATATGTCGATATAATCACTTGTAGAAAATAAGTTAACACCACATATTGCAAAATAACCCAACTCTAGATGCAAAATAAAATACAACAATATATATATATATAGAGAGAGCATATCTAGGGATGGCAATGGGGCGGGGCGGGTACGGGTTTCATGATCCCCGTCCCCGCGAGTCAAACCCATCCCCGTCCTCGTACTTGTACCCGTCGGGTATGTGATTTTCATTCCCATCCCTATCCCGTCGGGTATTGGGTATACCTGTACCCGTAACCGTACCCGTCAATTTTTTTATTTTTTATTTTTTATAAAAAAATATGATATTTTTAAATTAATTTTTTATTATATTATAATTATAATTAAGTTATTTCTCTATCTCATATTATAATAAATAATCACACATAAAAAATATTAAAATTCTTTAATATAATTAAATTGAAAGTAGGTATTAAATTAAAAATGAAAACGGGGACGGGTACGGGGCGGGTAAGTACATACCCATACCCGTACCCGATTTAAAGTATCGGGTTTTACCTGTACCCGTACCCGGTCAAACCGGGTATTCCTCGTCAAAGTCAGGACGGGTTCTGTGACACCCATACTACCCCAACACATATAAATAAATCTTGTAAATAAATTAAAAGAATAAAATATTCAACGTTGATAAAAAATGGTTCACATAAAACCTTCATAAATAACCAAAATAATTAAAAATAAAATTTAGAAAGTAAAACTTGAGAGTTTACAAATTACTTTCAGAAGAGAAGGTATAACTCTAAATACATATAAAAATTTATCCTAGAATTCTCTGCCCCGATGTCACAATATCAGAGCACACCCACAACTCAACAGTTGACATTCTAGATGCCACTCAAAGCCGGATCTTCCTCACCTAAAACATCCACAAATTATACGGTGAGAAAAGAAAACATTTATATATAAAGCACACAAGGAAATCTACAACATCATCTCATCATAACTTGAAATGTTATTTACAAGCATTTTTATAGATATATCATCATTCTATCAATCATTCATCATCTTCACCACACAATTCATAATCAAACAAATCCATTACAATCCACACAAATCTTACAATTAACACTATGCCAAGGCCACGCCACATCTGACACAAGTGATACGGGTTAAGTTGCATAATGGAGGGGGTGAAAAGGTGTCGGTGCGATCCGGTAGTTGTCAAATCTGTGGGACGACCGACAGTGGGTAAGGCCGAAGGGAGCTTTTCAGGTGCCACTACCGAGGCATGGGGGGGCCGAGGTATGGATCGTATGGGATTGATACAACCCTTGAGTTTGTGTGTTTGTGGCCTGAGTAGGTCTCCATGAGGTATCTTGATTCTTTAACGCCTCGTTCTCGGCTTTCAAGGCCGAAAGCTCCCTTGCATATTTTTCTCGTTGCTGTTTCATAACCTCCATTTCTTGTTTCAACAACCGAACAGCTTCAGAAAGGTCCGTTTCGTCAACAACCTCAACATGTTCTTCCTCTTCGGTTTGGTGGTCCTGTGTGTTTGTTCTCCTAGTTATCGCCATGACTATATTCGGTTAATCTTCCAACTATCTTCGTTCGGCCCCACGGTGGGCGTCAAATGTACCTGTCTGGAGGGCACACTAAGTCTTCTAGTATTCTGAAGGCCGAACGAGAACTCCGATCGAATATTCCGTTGAAGGGGTTTGTACCTGCAAAAGGCACTCCAACGCTCAAGTCAAGACAAGCACGAATATCGATGGTAATTAATGAACAGTGACGTTACCTCGTGACATGAGCTATTTATACTAACATTTATGGACCCTGACCTCCCTGGGCCCTGTGACAGGATTACCATATTAGATAATACGCCTCGAATCGGCTTATTGGTGTGATTAACTCTTAATCCTTAATTAGGGAGAGTCCTTAACTCTTTATTAGTGGAAATCTGGATCTATGGATCATCTGATTGCTAATCGGCCACCTGGTTTGACCATTCGAGTGTCGATTGGGTATCGGTTACCAGGTGGCCGAGTGGCCAAGCCAGGTGGCCGAATAGCCTTGCTAGTACAGTTTTAATAATAATTGTTAAAAGTTAATGTTTTAAAATTAAATAGATTAAATAATAATTAAACTTGAAAATATATTACAATATTTGATAGGATATCTCATAAATATAGAGCCATGATCAAGGTCCTTATCTACCAAACATCATTATTTTTAATATATATATATATAATTATTACACTATTACGCATATTTTGAAATCACATTTTGTTTAGTTTAAAATAATTACTTAAGATATAATCAAAAAATTAAATAATATTAACATAAAATAAATGATAATGTTGATATAAGATTACCAAAAATGATATTTTTTTTAGTGTTCATATTTCGTGTATCTTTTAACTATACCATAACTTTTTACCTTCTTTCAATTATATATGTTTTAGTTAAAGGATAAAATAGAATTTTTTTTTATAAAGACACCGTTAAATAAAAAGTAAAATTACTATTTCTCTCATTTCAACTTTCACATCCACATAATTGTAATTTTATTTTTCCTTTTACTTTGCTATTTTTTTTATATTTATTTTTAAACGTGAAGGCACGAAATATCTCTCCACCTCTAAGTCTTTAATATAATATAATAATTTTATAATATTTTATTTTATATAGAAAAACTAATTAACGGAAAATTACAATCGTTAAGGAAAAGGCAGAATGACACGCATTGGTAGTTCTCCGTCGCTTTCTCACTCTCTCTGTCAGCAAATATTTGCAACGAAGTCTGACCAAATACAAAACATAGCAAGTTAAATCTTATTTTTATTACTATTATTTTCATAGCTGATAATATGGTATAATTTTTTTTTACATAATTTTATTCTAAAATTTTTAAATATTAAAAATTATTTATTTTTATAAATATAAAACAAATTCAGAATCCCAAACGTGTAGTTCAGTGGTAGGGGTTGATCCACGCTTAAGCAAGGTCAGGGTTCAAATCTTGCCTTATGTATGCAGCCGTGTTAAATCTTGGGATCAGTTATCCCATCTTTTAAGGTGTCTCCAACGTAGAGAGGAGATTAATCACTGCTATCGACAATGATACTTTAGGGCCGAACAAAAAAAATTGAGAATTTTAAGATTTGAGAACATCAATTAATTTAACCGTCATTAATACTTTTTAAATATTTTTAATAAATAAAATATAAAAATATGAAATATTTTGTCCTATTAATTATTATTATTACTATTATTTATAATTTTATAATAATAATAATATTGACTTTTTTGGTTCTGTAAGTTGTTGTTTCCATCAACGTCCAACGGTTTTCCGTTGCCTTTCCAAGAAGCTAGGCTGCGCCAGGCATATCCATTCCATTTCATTCACATTTGCATTTTCATTTTCATTTTCATTTCGAAAGCATTTCACGTCACATCGCATCTTCTTCTTCTCCTCATTCCGATTCCTTTCCTCTTCTCCTCAATTCCACATTTCTTCCACGTCAGGTTAGGGTTTCTTTCTACTTTTCTTTCCACCTTTCTTCTTCAATCCATCAATTCATTTACTCATCATTCAATTCAATCTCTTCTTCCAACAGGAGGGGGAGGGGGAGGACCAATCACAATCACCATCACCATCACCATAGTGATGAAAATGCAAATTGCAATGCAATGAAATGAAATGACTTTGCCGCCAATGCGGGCTTGAAGGCCCGTTAGATTCCATTATTTATTTAATTAATTTAATTTAATTTAATTTAACTTTCTCATTACAAGCAAGATAAGAAGATTGTTGGTATATGTGAGTGTCAATGTGATGATTCAATTTGGTTGGAATCTTGTATATCATTGTTCAGGGATTGGTGAAGAAATGTACTGAGCGAATTTTCCATTGGAGTGCACCACGTTGGGGGGGGTCGTGGAGTGCCATGGAGCATATTCCCCCCTCTGAAATTCCTCATTCTCGACACCGCAGGGTTCGTCCCAAAAGCAGTGTCCAGTTTGATGACAAAGTCATCTTTCATGATGACAATGGTAACCTCATCTATGTTAATGATCCCATCAAGACTAATGAAAAGTATGAGTTTGCAGGCAATGAGATCCGAACCAGCAGATACACTCTTCTCAACTTCTTGCCCAAGAACCTTTTCATCCAGTTCCACCGGGTTGCTTATCTCTATTTCCTTGCCATTGCTGCTCTCAATCAGCTTCCTCCACTTGCCGTTTTCGGCCGAACTGTGTCCCTTTTCCCCCTTTTGTTTGTGCTTTGTGTCACAGCTTTCAAGGATGCCTATGAGGATTGGCGCAGGCACAGGTCGGATAGCCATGAAAACAACCGCCAGAGCCTGGTTCTTCAATCCGCTCAGTTCCGCCCCAAGAGATGGAAAAATATACAGGCTGGTGATGTTGTTAAAATCCTTGCTGATGAGATGATTCCTGCTGACATTGTCTTGTTGGGGACAAGTGATCAGAGTGGGGTTGCCTATATTCAGACGATGAATTTGGATGGTGAGTCGAATCTGAAGACAAGGTATGCTAAGCAGGAAACAACTTCATTGGTGTTGCCAGATGCTTGTGCTGTCTCTGGAGTTATTACATGTGAGCCACCCAATCGGAATATTTATGAGTTCACAGCCAACATGGAGCTCAATGGGCATAAGTTTCCCCTTAACCAGTCAAACATTGTGTTGCGTGGTTGTGTTCTGAAGAATACGGAGTGGATAATTGGTGTAGTGGTTTATGCAGGACAGCAAACAAAAGCAATGTTGAACAGTGCAGCTTCCCCTTCCAAGAGAAGCAAGCTGGAAAGTTACATGAACAGAGAAACTTTTTGGTTGTCAGTTTTTCTTTTCATCATGTGCGCTGTTGTGGCCCTTGGGATGGGTCTCTGGCTGGTACGCCACAAGGATCAGCTTGATACCTTGCCTTACTACAGAAAAACATACGTCACCAACGGGCCGGATAATGGAAAGCATTACAGGTATTATGGGATACCGATGGAAACATTCTTCTCCTTTTTGAGTTCTATTATAGTGTTTCAGATAATGATACCAATATCTCTTTACATCACAATGGAGTTGGTCCGTTTGGGTCAGTCATACTTCATGATAGGGGATAGGGATATGTATGATGCTAACTCTGGAACAAGGTTCCAGTGTAGATCATTAAATATAAATGAAGATTTGGGTCAAATACGCTACGTGTTTTCAGACAAGACCGGGACACTAACAGAAAACAAAATGCAGTTTAAAAGAGCTAGTGTACATGGAAAGAACTATGGAAGCTCCTTGCTTATAGCTGGTAATAATACGGGTAATTTTTTCTTTCTTCTTTATTTGGGCTTCACTTGAGATCATTATGTAATTCCATCTTGCTTAAATATGGGGTATGGTGCCATTATCTCTGTTGCGACAATATACCTTGAAATTCACTGAAAGGCTTAATATGTGCATTTCTGTATTGCACTGCCACTGAGCCAATGAGTTATGAGAAAGATTTTAGTTTCATGTTGAGTGATGCACTAGTTTTGATATTTTTGGTTTATGATAATGAGTGTTTTACTGGACAGTTTGAAGAGAATTGGTGCCCATATAATACACATTCATATGATCATATCCCAGTAGCATAATGTTCACTTGGGCTTTCATTTTCTATTAGGTTTCATAAATCATTCCTGGGATTGACCTGTTCAGTATGCTTCATTCATATTTAAAGCTATATAATTATTGTATGTAGGAGCCAAGGAGGAACTTTATTTTACTCAAAATTTCTTCCTTATCTTAGACTTGTTTTATGAAATATCCGCAATCTTCAATAAATTTTCTCTATTATCCACCGTTTGATTAAGTTGTATGTTTTTTAGCTGAGTTATTGACTACATGAGTTCTCACCGGAATCATCTATAAGCTTATGATGCGATGATAAATTTGCTGGTGCATATGTATCACCAACCAATTTTGTGATGTTTTGCAACAGCAGCAGCCGATAGTGGTAAACAAATATGGAAGCTCAAATCTGAAATTCCAGTTGATTCTGAACTAGTGGCATTGTTGCAGAAAGACTCAAATAGAGATGAAAGAATTACTGCACATGAGTTTTTCCTTACATTGGCTGCTTGTAATACTGTGATCCCCATTATTTGTAGCAGTACATTTCCCAGTTGTGGAAAAGGAGAATCAAATAAAAACATAGAATGTATTGATTACCAGGGAGAATCTCCTGATGAACAAGCTCTAGTTTCTGCTGCCTCTGCATATGGATATACTCTATTTGAGCGAACATCTGGAAACATTGTTATCGACGTCAATGGTGAGAAACTCAGGTAAATAGTGACTTCCTTTTGACGGGAGACTGTGTTTTGCTTTTCAAGATGTTGTTGGGCTTTTGTATTTTTAATGAAATTGAATTATATATACATAGCATATCCTAGTGAAGCCATTTTTGTTTTGTGTGGCTTATATATATATCTACTATGTAGACTATTCAGTAACTTAATCATTTCTGTGTGTGTTATAGGTTGGATGTATTGGGGCTGCATGAGTTTGATAGTGTGCGAAAGAGGATGTCTGTTGTTATACGGTTTCCTGACAATGTGGTTAAGGTGTTGGTTAAAGGTGCTGATACTTCAATGTTTAGCATTTTAGCACATGGCGAGGAAAGCAACAATGGCATATGGCAAGAAACTCAGAGCCATTTAAATGAATATTCTTTGCAAGGTTTACGAACGCTTGTAATTGCCTCCAGGGATCTTTCAGATTCCGAACTTGAGGAGTGGCAAAGCATGTATGAAGATGCGAGCACTTCATTGACTGATAGATCTGCAAAACTACGTCAAATAGCAGCTCTTATAGAATGCAAACTAAAGCTACTTGGAGCAACTGCAATTGAGGACAGGCTACAGGAGGGTGTACCAGAAGCTATCGAATCCCTGCGACAAGCTGGAATCAAGGTCTGGGTTCTCACTGGTGATAAACAAGAGACCGCAATTTCAATTGGTCTTTCTTGTAAACTTCTGAGTGTAGATATGCAGCAGATAGTTATAAATGGCACTTCAGAGGTTGAGTGCAGTAATCTCTTGGCTGATGCTAAAGCGAAGTATGGTGTGAGATCTTCAAGTAGAGGACATCAGAATCCGAAGTGCGAAACTGATTCTAAACATGGTGGCCCTGATATTCACAATGGCACAAAATCCTTGAGCATGCCCAAGTGGAATCCTGGAAAGGAGGAGGGAACTACTGCTCAATTGGCTCTCATAATTGATGGGACTAGTTTGGTTTATATTTTGGAGAAGGAACTACAGTCAGAGGCAAGATTATCCTTCCTCATTTGAAGTTTTCTTTTGGAATATTTATGTATATTGGAACCCTTAAGCTTAATTTATCTGAGGTGCATGTACAACTTTTGGTATCTATAAGTTCAACTTCCTGGCAAATACTTACTGTTTTCCCTTTTCTTTTCAACAGCTTTTCGACCTTGCAACTTCCTGTAGGGTTGTGCTATGCTGCCGTGTTGCACCCTTGCAGAAAGCAGGAATTGTTGATCTGATAAAAAGCCGCACAGATGATCTAACATTAGCCATAGGTGATGGTAAGTTCATTATATTGATATGAAGTGACCACTAATTTACATTTGCCGTGTGTTATGGTTGATAGTGGATTTGTTAATAAGTTGAGGTCAACAAGATTCTTTTGCTTGTAGTTTGTATAATCAGATGCACTTTTAAATTAAGATTATTCTGTAGTATCAAACTAATGATCTCTTTTGTTTATTTTGACTTCTTTGGACAGGGGCAAATGATGTATCAATGATCCAAATGGCAGATGTTGGTGTTGGAATATGTGGGCAGGAAGGGCGCCAAGCAGTGATGGCATCAGATTTTGCCATGGGACAATTCCAGTTCTTGAAAAAATTGCTTTTGGTTCATGGGCACTGGAATTATCAGCGTATTGGTTATTTAGTTCTGTACAACTTCTACCGCAATGCTGTCTTTGTGCTTATGCTATTCTGGTATGTATAGTTTTCTTTTAATACTGCTGGTTGACTTCCACTTATTTTATTTTATTTATATTTTTTTTCTTATATCTATTTGTCGTTCTTTCTTGTAACTTTTTTATTTGATGCATGCCGGTGCTGTGCATATGTTTTAATTCTGCTATCTGATCTTTCAGACTTTTAGCCTCAAACTTAAACTAGGGAAATTGTAATTTTCATTATTTTTGCCTAGATTTTGTGACTTACGGTGAAACTTAATTGATTTTTATTTTTTATTTTTTCCTCCTTGAAGTACCTATGGAGAAGTAGACACTTTATCCATATTTGGATGTTAACTTTTGTCTATAAAGTAGTATTATCTGATCTTCCAGTTGGTGTATGCTATCCATGTTCAAATTTGTAATATGTTGTAGCCTTGTATGGTGTATCACCAATTTTTGGGCTCAGTTGGAAGTCATTTGATTTATACAATAGTTGAGATTTTATAAAACTTTATTGATTCTAATGCAGTGTCTTCCTTGTCTGTAGGTATATATCATGCACCGCTTTTTCTACCACTTCAGCATTGACAGATTGGAGCAGTGTACTTTATTCTGTGATATACACTTCTATCCCCACGGTCATTGTTGGTGTTCTGGACAAAGACTTGAGTCATAGGACTCTCCTACAGTATCCAAAATTGTATGGTGCAGGTCACCGGCACGAGGCTTATAATATGCAATTATTTTGGATCACAATGCTTGACACACTATGGCAGAGTCTTGTTCTCTTCTACATTCCTGTATTTACCTATAAGGACAGCACACTTGATATATGGAGCATGGGCAGTTTATGGACAATTTCGGTTGTTATCCTTGTAAATGTACACCTGGCTATGGACATTAACCAATGGGCACTAGTTAATCATGTTGCTGTATGGGGATCCATAGTCATTACATATGGTTGTGTGGTGATATTGGATTCTATACCAGTCTTTCCCAATTACGGGTTAGTCATTTGTGTGACGTGTGTCTTCCTATGTGTATATTGTAGTTACTATTGTAGATTTGAACTGTAGGATATATAGCTAATGTGCTTCCAATCATTTCAGGACTATTTATCATTTGGCAAGGTCCCCTACATATTGGATGACAATTTTGTTCATAATAATATTGGCGTTGCTACCTCGCTTTTTTTGCAAAGCTGTTTGTCAAATATTTTATCCTTCAGATATCCAGATAGCTAGAGAAGCTGAGACCAAGAGTAAACAGCATGATGATTTGCGATCAAAGCTACCAATTTCAAATTAACTTGAGTTACTCTATCTTTTAGAAACTAGAGAATCTCATTGGAACAGTGTCATTGTATTTGTCCATCACATTGCATTCTCGAGGCAGTTGGCTGTATAAGTGGCCAGGCAAGTGTATGCTTTCTCTCTTGGTTTAATCTTAACTTATTTTGAATGTTGTTCTTTTATTGTTGTCTATTGATATTTTATGTAAACTAGTTTCATTGAAATTAGTGGCTGTCAAAATCTGAGAGTGGCCGATTGTTTTAGATTTGTATTTCTAAGTTTTAATAGTCCATAAAGCTATCTTAGAATGAGTAGTCAGACATCTTTCAGTGGTTCATGACAGCCCTTTATTCCTAATGATGTAATATTAATGCTGTTTACTCAGGTTTTTATAGAATTTAGTAGTCCATTGACCCTGATTGTAATTCTACTAACAGAGATTTTGGTCCTTATGTTTCGTGGAGGATTGATTCTTATCGATTGTTTTCTGCTTATTAAGGTATTGGTCCCTGAGGGACTAATACTCAAATGGGTGAAAATATAGGGACCAACATTTACCAACTATAGGGACTACCAAAACTTAAATTTATGGAAACTATGAGAACAAAAATCTTTCTTAACTCTCAAATTTATGACTTGATTTTGTTCTTCAAATTCTGAACAAACAGTTAGACTAGGTAATGTAGTTTTTTTCCCCTCTTTTTGAGTTTTTTGGGAAAAAATTGGGAAGTAAAACTGCCTGAGAGCTCTCTCTTAATATTTATTTGTAGTACAAACTTTTAGCTTCTATAAAGGTTGAAGGGCTCTTGTTGCATGTTGCGACTCAACCTAACTCTTTCAAGTGGCACAATGTGAGTCTTTGATTTAGGCAACAGTCAGTTGAGTCTTTCTTTTATAATTTACTTGGGCATATTTTTCCGTACAAAAACAATGATGGGTTTTGATGGGTGGCTGTCTTTCCCCAAATGCATCTGAGTTTAATTTTTTCAACTCAATTTCTGAAGGAGAATGGATGTCATTTGGTAGCAACAATGATTCCTTCCTGTAAAACGAGTATTTATGAATTTGGTAACTGATAATGCAACCTGGTTTGGTTCTGTTGGCCAGATATCTATAGGAATCTGCCAGGCCATGGAGTTTTCCTGATGGGAACTGAGAGTTAGGGATAGTTATGACAGTTGTGGCAGATCTGTAGGGGCATTTATGTATTTTAGGAGCAGTTATTTTATGTCTAGTGTGATTGTAGACAGTTATCTGGTTCAGTATTTTATGTCTGATGTGATGATAGAAAAGTATTATGTTCAGTTATGTATTTTATAAGCAGTTATTGTATGTATAGTAAGATGATGGGCAGTTATTATATAAAATTTGTATAGAAAATGCCCTGTAGGAAAGGAGTGAACAGAGGAGTGCATTTGGAAGTTCTTTGGACACAGTTATTCTCTATAGCAGTTGTTAAAACTCTGGGACAGCTGCTGTAATATTATATTCAATTAGTGTACCTAAATCTCAAATTTCAGTGTTCTATCATCTCCCCACACTAGAAAAAGCAAACTTGGCATTTTGAGTCTTTTGACGACATAAGCCCCGAATGTTTGGTCGAAGTTGGTGCAATGGCCACCACGTTCTGCATTATTTGCTGCTAAAATATCCCGTGGCATTGATGTTTGGACAGTTATTTAAGTTATTTTGGTAAGGATGGGTTTTATTGGATGCTGTATGTGATTGTATTTCTTTACATTTGTTAACTCCTTAGATGGCTGGGTTTAGAAAACAGTAGAGGTCCTAGAGGAAACATGTATGAAGTTAATGTTTTGTAACTGCAGACAAATGAGTTAGGAATCACCATTGCATGTTGCAATTGGTATTTTCTTCTATATTATTTTTTGCTCCGAGTGATTTTTATGCTTATTGTACCGGAAATATATATGTATATTATGTGTCTCTATATACATGGATGAAGATGAAAAAATGTGCGCACACTTCTTTTACATAAATAAAATAAGCTTGTCCTTTTTAAGTGTTCATATCCGATTGGGCATGGCCCTGATCTTTTGTGGTATTAATTCTTCAGGTGAGTAGCAGCAGCAGATTGCACTAATGCGAAACAGATGCTTTCTCCTACTTAGTAACCAAGTATGCCGTGGGGAATCACATGTAAAGTTGTGAAGCCAAGCCCGGTCGGTAAATGCAATGGAAGAGGGCTAGAGTAGTACTCAGCAATTAATTGTGGACGAAATTTGACAATTCGGGCACTGGCGACATGATTATGATCCACTGGTCTTGAGAGTTGCTTGTTTGAGGGTTACAGAGGAACGAGATGTACAATAGTTCTGTAAAAATCAGTCTTGTATTATCCTCCTTTTTGAAAAAAAAAAAAAAAGCAAACAGAAAAATTGTCTAAAGAAAAGATAAAATAAAATAATGTAATTTCCACAATCCATAAAGCTAAAAATATTAAAATTTCAGAACTTTAAAAAGTAATTATTTTTAATTAACTAAAACTATAATTCTAAATTCCTTCTAAAAACAATTTTAAATTTCTTTTTCAACTTTTGCTGAGGCTCACTCTTGCTCGTCCTCCCTTGTTCTTTCTCAGGCTTGTTGGAAATTGTAATTACTATTACCTCTCCCCAAATGAGAAAGAAAAACTCATTATTTCCCTGTTTTTCTTTTGATAATTATATAGGTACTATTGCTTCTTGGTGCCATTGACTCTCCCTATAATTTTGGTCACTGTTTACTTTCATTGGCTCAGCATGAAATTGTTCAAGCATGCTTAGCTTAACTTTGCCAGATTTTGAGGGCAGAAAGACCTGTATGCTATTAGAGAACACCTATATCAATTGCTTCTTTGGTATAGTCATGCAGAACCTGCACTCCTTTAATCACCACAAAAAGCAGATTGTTTGTGCACATTGTCATCAACTCTTTCTTTGGAGAGTTATGTGTATCATTCAGTCCTTCTAGCAGCATAAATTGCTTTGGAGGCTCATTAGGTTTATCGTTTTGCACTTTTTGATGTAGTACACCTTCATGAATGATGAGTTAATTTCCATCTTCTAGTAACTTAGTATTAAGTTCATTCTCTTAATTGCTATATTTGAGGTTTTTATTTTGGATGGCAGTGACTTGTTAAAATCTTAATTTATTTAAACTAGTTAATATAACTAATTATTATTATTTAAATGTTTGTACTAACCCATTTCCAAATAAATTAAATAATTAATTTATTTAAAGTATTTTTTTAATCAGTTGACAACATAAAATTCTTTATAATATATCAAATTTAAACTCTTAGTAATATATTTCACAGTTATATTGATGTTTTACACTTAACCCAAAATAACTAGGGTCAATTAATCTGGCTTGGAAACTAGTAAATATTTAGATAATACGGGAGCCGAGAAGGAAAAAGTTAGCCACAGGCTTCAAATTTAATTTGAAGTTAATCTTATGGTATGAGTTTAAAATTTCTCCTCCAAAAGCAATTAAAAAACACTAGCTCAGGGGATTGGGAACCTAAGCTCAAGTATTTCACTGCATTGATTGCTATAGTCTTGCAAACACAAGAAAAATAGAAAACAACAAAGGAAAAGAACAAAACATTGGAACTAAAAAGGCAGTTCAGAAATCAAACTATATTTACAGTATCTGTCAGGTAACGTAGGATGCAACCTAGTCCTGCTTTCTCTGTCAATTTTTCATGAATCCGAAGGAAATGATCACATGTAGGACGATCTCCAGTAGCTAAGCCTCTATATAAGTACCTATGGCAAATACAAAACTCTTAGGACAGAAAATGATGGTGTAAGAATACCATTAGTTATCTACAATAGTTACTATAATATTGTTAAATACCATTAGTTATCAGCGATAGTAAATATAATATTGTTAAAAAAGAGTCATTCAATGTCCATTTTGACTCTATTAAAAATCTAAAAAGTACAGAGGAAAGTGCTGTCAAGGTGAAGGATTTTAGACCTATCTGATTGGGCGCAAGAGTGAATAAGATCATAAAAGCTTATTCATGCTGGGGTTGACCACAATTCAAGGAGATACTATTGCAGCTCTATTGCTATCAGACTGTAGAGGATATTAGGTACAAGAAAGAGACAGATTTAGTTTTTAAGTTGGACTTTCACCTTTGTAGTTATGGTTAATGGTTGACCGAGAAGCTAGAAATTGGTTTCAAGGAAGGTGGTCTGTGACTGGGTTGACCTTATATTGCCCTTTATGTTCACTGTAGTAATGAAAGACTTCAGGCATTAATTAATGAAAGGTTGGAAGTGAGTTTCAGTAAGGTCTTTTTGGTGGAACCAATGGCATCCTTGTGGAGTTTGCAGACGACATAGATACTATTCTTTTCTTCTAGAAGACAGATTTTCAGAGATGTCCTATCACTAGAAGTTTAAACTTTAAAGATCTATATAGTCCTTTCTCCTGATGATTGCATCATGTGCTTCAAATGTTCTGAAGCAAACAACCAACACCTTTTGTGTAATGAGGTAGCTCGGAAACTGTAGTGAGCTGGTAGGAGATTGCTGGCTACGGTGACCTAATTTTGAAGTTGTTTACTCTATACTTATTAGATAGGTTCTGGGAACAGAAAATTAAGTTCCCCAGTTTTTTGTTAAAAAATAATAATATATCAGGTCTGAGACACTGGGCGCTACTAGAAGCTCCAAAAAACACTTCTTGAGGCATTCGGTATTTGTGTCCTAGGATGCGCATGAAAGAACCCTTCTAACACTTGAAGTATGCAGACTAGTGATTTGGTATATGGTTTAAAAGATTGAGGTTGTAATTCATGTTTTGCAGCAAGTAGATACTTGAGGAGAATAGCCGCAGCATGCTGATCTAAAATGAGAAAATTTTACAAGTTTGTAAGGTTGATATTAACTACATGAATATTTCTACCTGAAATCTTATAAAATCACAAATGAATATGCAAGAATAATATGGGAGTGTGCCTCAATGAGGGTTGACAAAAGAACTATTGTGCAAGAGACAATGATGTTGAATAGATACACAACCCAGTTGTTCCTAAGCAGATCCTTCATGTTGATAAATGATCAATGAGGGATCATATATTTGTGACTTTTAACATCTAAACCTTATGCATAGCCAATGAAAAAGAATACTAGTTAAAAAATCTACTCTAATATAATTTGTGGTTGTATCAATAAGGGAAAACACAGGTTGTAGTTGGAACACATGATCTAAAATATAATTGTCATTTTTGATTGATAGATGAGATCCGAGTGTACATTCATTTGCAAGTTTATTTCCCGGTTTTTGAAATCTAACAATTGTCTCACTGCACATAGTGAACTTGAGACATCCGATATATAACTTGTCCCCAAGTACTCTTGAGAGGGGAACATGACGGAAGGGGCACATAAATTTCATTTATCAAGTTGAACCACCGAATATAAACAGCATGCTTAGATATAAGTTTAGAAGTACTTTTTGAGAGTCTCTCAACATATGCAAAATCTATAAAGTACCAACCAAAGAAACATATAGAAAGACACATCATCATATTACACTCACTTTAAGAAATGTCTATTTTAATTGCATTGTAGCTATGAAACCCACCTAGACACGTGAAGATTGAGTATAATAAGTTAAAGACAGTTTAAACTTTAAAGAGCTACTTTGTCAAGATCTTATATAAAGGCAGTTGCCAAAAACAATCACATCACTCAATAAAAAAGAAATTATCTTCATTACTTTTTATTCCATTTTTTGACGAGACCAAAATACACTACTCAAGAAATTCAACTCAATTGAGTTATAGGAATTTCAGGATATTACTGGCATTTGGAATCTAGAATTGAAACAGAATATCCAAAAGAAAAAAAAAATAAAGTTCTAGAAAGACACATCATCATATTACACTCACTTTAAGAAATGTCTATTTTAATTGCATTGTAGCTATGAAACCCACCGAGACACGTGAAGATTGAGTATAATAAGTTAAAGACATTTTAAACTTTAAAGAGCTATTTAGTCAAGATCTTCCAAAAAAAAAAACATAATTGGCACACTATTGAATTAAATGGCTACAATAAGCCTTTCTAAAAGTGAATGTGTGTATATATATATTTCCAGGTGCCTTTCTATACAGTTTTCTGAATTATTATTATATAAAGGCAGTTGCCAAAAACAATCACATCACTCAATAAAAAAAGAAATTATCTTCGTTACTTTTTATTCCATATTTTGACGAGACCAAAATACACTACTCAAGAAATTCAACTCAATTGAGTTATAGGAATTTCAGGATATTACTGGCATTTGGAATCTACAATTGAAACAGAATATCCAAAAGAAAAAAAATATATATTATCAAGGCTTAATAACCATATAAATAAGAAGCACCGCACCAGTGGTTAAAAGACTCCTAAGAAATTAGTTAAGTGATTATTGATTAATTTCATTACATAACTTGAAAGCAAAAGCAAAAAACGCATAAGCCCATAGTCTACAGACCAAAACATTCAGCACCCTCTACAAAGAAAATAGCACGTGAACAGATACGATAAGAGGTAGAATAAAACAAAAAGGAGAAGAAAAAACAACAACTTAAATCAATAAACATGACCAAAGACAACTTGTGCCGAAACAAAAATGTCTCCAATGCAGGAACAAAAAAAAAAACCATTAGACTTTGCAGGACTTTCTTCACTACAAAATTTACATGATCCAAAGCCCCTAAATAACATAAATAAATAAACACAACGAACACGAAAACTACATAACAAAGCTCTAGACTTTGATTGATGGAGATCCGATGACAAGCAACATGATTAAAATAGAACTCTCATTTCATCATGAGATGACTTTTAACTAACATCTGAATATTCTGAGACCTCACCACAAAAAGAAAGATTTTATTTCAAAACCCACCATCCTAAAACCTTGTACACAGAATAAAAACTCATCCTTGGAAGGTAGTTGAGAGAAACAAAAAAAAAAGTAGTGAAAAGGGAAGAAGAAGATGATGTGGGTGGAAAGGGTTGAAGTTGCCCCTAAATACCTAGCAGCGTGCTTGTTGAGGGAGGCATGTTGTGAGGGTCCATGTGGAAGAGCACAATTTTGGGGCATTAAAAGATATAGAAATGGGAAATGGGCATTAAAAGATATAGAAATGCGGCTCCCACAACACATATCCGCTTAAATATTTTTTATTTTTTTATTTAAATAATTAAAAAATAAATTGTACCCGCTGCCAAGGCTTGAATTAATTTCAGCGTGTGCTTTGAAACAGCTTGGAGCCTTTCATTGACGGGAGATATCTTACAGGTGACCTTGTCAACTCAGTCATCATGCACCAATTGCAAGGACTTAGTTTTTTTTTTCTTTTTTCATGAAAAGAAGAGGAAAAACAAAAAAGACACATTGCAATTCTATTACAGTCTTAGATTTCAGAAAATTCAAGGTATTCAAGCAATGTGGCCGTCTTTTAATCCTCAACATCTTGAAGAGAACCTATTTCCTGCCTAGCATCTCTTATATTTGCACTTAGTAATTCCAGAATGGTTGTGATATGTTCATTTTGTGGATGAGCCTGATCCGCATTCAATTGATCATTAACATTAATCCAAGACCAGCCGGGCTCCTTTATTAATCTTTTTGACTTCATTAACTTCCTTATATGTGCAACTTCCTTCCATCTCCCCTTGGCAGCATATATGTTAGCCAAAGTAATATGAGTTCCAGCAGAATATGGATCCAACTGAAGTAACTGTTCTGCTGTCCATCTTCCACGATCAACATCCCCATGAACTCTACATGCTCTGAGTAAGGTAGACCACACAATGTCATCACTATGGAATGGCATACTTCGTATCATGTACTCAGCTTCACTCAATTGCCCTGCTCTGCATAGAAGATCAATGATGCAACCATAATGTTCTTTTGAAGGATTGATTTGGTACTCATTAGTCATTAACATAAAATAGTAGATACCAAGATCAACCAATCCAGCATGGCTACATGCTGTCAAAACCCCAATGAATGTCACATAGTCTGGCATCAAACCAACACTGGATATCTTATCAAA